GATTTGTGTAAAGGGAGATCTGGAGTGATAGGTGATTAAAATGGAAAGTAAAAAGGATATGGGCTTCAGCTGAGAAGAGTAAAAGAAGGTTACTGGAGTGAGTGAAGCTCTAGGAGTGGGTTTTGGTGACTCTCATTTTTTGTCGTAGGAGTCTACACTGTAAAAAAAAAAATGTTTTTTTGAAGGTGTAAATTAAACAAAGATTACTGGAATATGTTTTACTATTTAAGTTTTTTTTTTTTTTTTATCAATGTGTTACTTGCTGTTTCTTTGCAATTATTTGTAAACTTTACTAGAAATTTTCTGAGTGAAAATTGTTTCTACAACAATTTTTTTTCACTCTACATTTTTTATTCCAGACATTGTTTAGAAATTCACTGTATATACTGAGCTAGGATATGCATGTGGATATGTTCAAAATAGTCCATGACATTTAAAGGTCTTGTTGACTACAGCAAGATGCAGTTGATTAGTGTCGCGATATCTGTCTCCTTTACGGAAAGTGACCTAAAAACCTTTTATTCTGTTGCCACTGTGATTCTGTCACAATATGACACTGCTATTAATCTGGAAATGATTTGGTGTTTTATATACATGTGTGGCGTGTGTATGTACTGTAAGTGCTCTCCTCTCTGTCTTTTCCAGCCTCCTCTTCTCCATGCTCCTTCTCCATCCAGGGTAAAGCCCTCCAGAGTAAAACCCTCCTCAACTCCTACTACTCAGGTGTGTGGCTTCCTATGTTGAATTGGTCCATGTGGTATAGTAGTAAAATTCCTGGACTGGTAACCAAAAGATTTGAACCGTACAATGTATCAGCAGGCCAATCACAGAACTTGAACCTCACAAAGTTCTATACATTCCCTACCACTTGCATGTTCATTTATTAAATGTTCAGGCTAATTTGATGATGCTTTCAGATTCCAGTAAGAATGCAGTACTCTCATTTATTAAAAAAAAATAAAAAAATAAAAATAGCAGTGCTCTCAGCTATTGATAATCTCAGCTCTCAGCTTTTAATAAATTTTTAAAGCAAGGCACTTTAAAACCAGGTTTCTATGGGATTACTAGTATATTAGATGTTGCTTTAGATAAAGGTATCTGCTAAATGACTGCATTAAAGAATGAAAGGTATAGTTCACCAAAAAAAAAAAAAAGGAAAATGATGATATCAAGCTTCAAAAAGTACACAAAAACAGGATAAAAAAATAGAATAAACAAAACTCAAAAACCAAATCAGTCTGCAAACGAATCATTCAGACTGGTTTTGTGAAATGGATCAACCGATTCACTGAAAAGATCTGACTCAAAAGAATGATTGATTCATGATCTGGACATTGTATCAACTCATGAAGATTTGGAATATAATGCAGTCATATAGGCTATACATTTTTATAGTGTTTTGCATTCTTTTTGAAGCTTTAATAGAACCATTTTATCCTTTTTTGTTACATGGAAGAAAAACAATAAGGTTTAGAATAACATGAGGGTAATTAAATGGCAGAATTTTCATTTTTCTGTGAACGATCCCTTTAACAGTGTTATTTTAGCATTAATTTAATAAATATGAATTTTATAATAAATAAAATAAGATATAAATATATATATATATATATATATAGTATTTCTTAATATTTAGATTTTTTTAGTAATTTTGTTATTTGCTTTTGTCATTTTTATACGTTTTTTATATTTCTATTTAGCTTAAATTTATTATTTCAGTAATTTATTATTTTATTTATTATTTTAGTAATGTTCGTACTTCAACTTATTTCTGTATATAAAGTTATATTATTTAATTTATTTAATTGTAGCTTTATTTCAATAAATGAAAACTAGTTTTAATATTTTTAGTTTACAATAACAACAGCTTTTTTTAACCCTTAAAAATATCAGAACAATACTCTACGACAATAGTTGTGCGGCATTTATGTCAAAGCAAAAAATTAGTTTCAGTTTTATGCTGTTTTTAATTGCAGTTTCTAAGGAGCCAGTCCCTGCCACGGCATCCATAGGTAAGACACTTTCCTCCTCTGCTGATTATGAATCACACTGTTCAGTTCTACACACATGGATCATGTTAAACCGTTTCTTCTGTGTCTTTTAATGTGAATGTATAATGAAGCTGACGAAATGAATATCCAGAGGTGAATCGCTATGAAGCGTGTAGTTTAATTCAAGCCTGCGTGTGTATGAGTCATAAAGTATGGGTTTAGATGATGAAAGATCATAACATTGACCTTTGAAGTCAAAAGCGGGTGCCCGACTTTGGTTCCCATCCGATCAAACTAACTGCAGCTTGTAATTTTGCGGCAGCTGAATGTGGTTTCAGTGAGGAGTCGGCGGCGTCCTCCTCACACTGATGCCTCCGTCCCACGCTGAGCCAGATTAGAGGAATGAAAGCCCTCTGTCAGTTCAAACAAAGTCTATGTTTATATCCCAATGTGTGGAAAGTGATTTGAATCAGATCGTTCGTCGGAATGCTAATTTTCAGATTTGGCAGATCGGTGTGTGACACACACACACACACTCCTACACACCCTCATGTCTTTTCAAAGGCAGATTGACCATTTCACATCCAATGGTAATAGCTCATAATAAAGACTTATCCATCCTTTCATTCTGTCTTTACCTTGTTTGTTCATTCTTTCTTCCTTCTCTCCATCCATTTTTTCATTTCATTCTTCCCTCTGTTCTTTCTTTTTGTCTTTGTTTGTTTTTTTTATTTATTTGTTCATTTGTCCTTCCTTCCAGTCATTCTTTCTTTTGATTGATTGTTCATCCTCCTGTCTTTTGTTATTTGTTTGTTAGTTCTTTCATTCATTTGTTCAGTTGTTTATTGATTTGTTTTACTTCCTTTCTTTCATTTGGTCTTTCGTTTGTTAGTTCAGTTGTTCTTCCCTCCTCTAAAGTTCATTCATTTCTTTAATTTCTTTTTCTTTCTTTCTTTCTTTCTTTCTTTCTTTCTTTCTTTCTTTCTTCTCTTTCTTTCTTTCTTCTCTTTCTTGTGTTTCCATTTATCATTATTTCTCATTATTATTTCTCATTTCCAATTATTCATCTTCACTGAAAACTTTAAGAAATACTTGCAAAAGATCAACAGTAATTGGATTTCATCAGTGTCCCAAATTTACAGCAACAACCCGCCGTTAATACAGAAATAACTATTGATTGCAGATGATTTGGACATTCATGTTGCCGTCACTGGCTAGCGTGTTTTGGATGAAAACTTTATCCTAGATAGCTAGAGTGAACTACAGTACTTCAGCTCCACTGCTGACACTTTCAAGTTTTTCCTGGTCACGCAAAGCTTCATCCTTTACTCGTTCTTCAGGAGATAGTTTACAGTCGGCTTTTGAAAAGGGATTTCTGATAGATATCTTGGTGGGCTCGGGGCTTATTTAGTCCTAAAGCTCATTTCAAAGGTTCACTCTAAAAGGTTCAGATGCAGGGGTCTCTAAACACGCACCTCTGATGCAGACAGTTTCTAGGAGTTTGAAAACTCTCGCTTTAAGCTACACTCAGCAGCGAAGACCACGACTCCCCCCATACACATACACACTCAGCGCCAATAAACCACTGAGAGCAAACGTATTTACAGAGGTTATGAAGGTGGAGACGGCTTGTTTAGTGCGAGGAGATGAAGAAAAGAGAAAATGAGCACACAGGCGCTGTATTAAAGGAAGAGAGAGGGAGCAAAATGGGGGGGGGAAAACGTCAAGCACTAGGGGAGTTGAATCAGGCGTTTATTAACTGAAGCAAGAAAATTTGGACTGTGAGATATTTGTAAACTGGATGTCAAACATGCCGCAGTCATACTTTCACATTCATGCCAACCTGACCCAGGGAAGCCAAGGGATGAACGGAAAAATACTAGTAGAAAATCTGAGATTAAGGGAGTGCAGTAGAAGGTGATGGAGGATAAGAGATGACCTGCAGTGAGAGGGAGTTAATGGAGGATTGGGATGGAAGAAGAAAGGAATGGATCAGAAGAAAAGAATACAAGTTAGGGTGCTTTCACACTTGGTTCAATTGCCTGGTCCGAACCCGAGTTCGATTGCTCCCCCTCCTCCTGCCCCCTGAACTGTTTTTATGGTTCCGAACCACGGTACGTTTGCGTCATCAGAGTGGCAGCTGTTTAACCCATTACTAATGACTATGCAGAAGACAATGAATGGATGCTTGCTCACTTAATTTTTGTACTTGGGATTTTGAAAATTCTTACTCATTTCCAAAGCGCCAACATAGAATGGCACATGTGTCTATTTGTCACGACTGTAGGGTTAAAAAAACGCAGCAGTCACTTTTTTGCGAGCAGAAATGAGATATAAATTCTCTCTGCTGCAGTGCGTCAGTCACACTTAACAGGAAAGCGAGTGAGTAAATGCATAAATACACTGTTTGACCAAATCATACATCATAAATATAGCGGCTCACTTCCGTGATTTAGTACGATTGCGTTCACATCAGAAGCGAACCGTACCGGACTTTGCATGAACCGTACCCCAGACCACCCTTTTTAGCCAGACTCGGGTACGCTTCGCTGGTGTGCACCCGAGTTCAGAAAGCAGCATTCACATTATCCAAACGAACCTAACGCTGATGTCAAACGAACCTGGGTGCGCACCAAAAGTGCTAGTGTGAAAGCCCCCTCCGAGTGGGACTCTGGGATGTCAGAATAGAACTACAGTAGATGTGCTAAAGCAAATAATTAAGCACTTGAGAGCCAAAGTAGTGTTGAAATTGTTGGTAAATGTAGGTTTTAGGCTTTGATTTTCTATAAATATTATATATATTGTCTATAGTGTACCATTCAAAACTTTGGAATAGGTAGGTTTTTTTTTTAAAGATGTATCTTTTGCTCCACAAGGCTGTATTTATTTGATCTAAAATACAGTAAAATTTTGTGAAATAGTATTACAATTTAAAATAACTGTTTTCTATCTGATTATATTTTAAAATGTAATTTATTCTTGTATTGCAAAGCTGAATTTTCAGTATCACGTGATCCTTCTAATATGCTGATTTGCTGCTCAAGAAACATTTCTGATTATCAGTGTTGAAAACAGTTGTGCTGCTTAGTATTTTTGTGGAAACCACGTTTTTTTGTTTTGTTTTTTGGATTATGTAAAGAATGGAAAGTTCCAAAGAACAGCATTTATTTGAAATCAAATTTTTTTTGTAAGATTATAAAAGTCCTGAACCACAAATCAAAATATACAAATTAGAATGCTGTAATTGTTGTTGAAGTTTTTCAAATTTTGATGTCAACATGAAATGAACATTGAAATCAAAATTTTATTGTGCACAATTCATCAGTGCATGTCGTTCCACATAAAGTGTTTTTATTAAAGCATAGTGCTTTTCTTATAACTTTCTCTGGTGATTTTATTGGGTAAACTCATATCTTGGCCTGCTTTTTCAATATGTCATGGCAGTCAGACGGATTTCCAATACCATTTCATGTCAACTTTAATGTTAAATTGCTTTAAAAGTAAAAAAGTTTATTAGAAAAAAGAATGGATAATACACCTAAGATTTAAATTATCTATAAAACAAAGGTTGAATGGATTCTAGAGTCTCACAAGCACTGTAATAAGGACTGATTGTGTAAAGAAGAATTGAAAAGGTGAAATCGAGTGGAGGGTAAAGATAGTGAGATGGAGAGAAGATAGCAAGAAATAAAGGCACCTGTACAGATAAAAGAATGAGGCATTAAATGAGGAAGAAGGCCTTTTCATTCTGTTTTACAGACCCCGTCTCTCGCTCCGAGTGAGGGCGGTCATATTTCTGTTCTGGAGATGCTCCCTGCCGAAACGATGTCGCTGAGATTACGAGGTAGAGAAAGACTGGCGGCCCCTAATCATTTATAAACCTGCCTATTATGTGGGGCTTCCAGTTCATTTACAGGCTATCGATCATGTTGCGGGATGAAAGCCTTGGTAATCGCATACAGGAACTGTGAGGGAGGACTTGTGCCGACTGTTTCTTAAAATCATTTCTCCTGTAATCCACGCAGAGATGATCATCAATGCATCTGATGAGTAGTCCCAAGTTTTGCACCTGGGAGAGAGAACATTGTGTTAGAAAGAGAGGATAATGGTAGAGAAAATAGGGTACATGCAGTGTTTTAGAGCAAGATAAAGAGTGAAAGATTTAGATGTTGTAGAGGAGTGTAGATATCTGTAGGATCGATGGAAATGAAAAAACAGAATGGAGGAACAGAGATAGGAACGGAGAGAGAGAGAGAGAGAGAGAGAAGGGTTCTGTTTCATGGAGAAACGATAGTTTTAGAGGCTGGGAATGGATAACCCGCTAAGGGACGTCTGTGATTCTGCTGGTTAGCTGAAAGACGCCTGGCGACTCCAGCTTAACTCTGATAATGGCATTCACTGTAATGATATTACTCAAAGGTTGCTCTTTCATAGCTTAGGAGACTTACAGGAGTGAAAAATAGACACAAATGAGATTGTTGACATATAGTAATAGTATAGTAATAGTAATAGTAATAGTACAGTAAGGGTGTATTCACACCTGTCTTGTTTGGTTCGATTGAATCGAACTTAAGTTCGTTTCACCCTTTGGTGCGGATCTTTTGCGCACCAAACAACCATACCGAGACCCAGCTGAAGAGGTGGTCTCGGTCCGCTTCCAAACGAACTCTGGTACGGTTGAATGGATGAACCAATGAATGGATGACCTTAAGCACATGTGTGGTTTTGTTTACAGTCTCTGGTTCACTTGCAAAAAGGGCAGTGTGAAAGCGAACCGCACCAAAAAAAA